TAATGCCACATACAAGTATGTATTTGGACACAAGTCTCATTGCTCTGAGAGAAACTAGTGAGCTGTAGAATTACTGGTTTATATTGTGTTGATGTTTGATTTTTAAGGAGGCAGAAAACGTGGAGCAGCTGAGAGAACTTGCTGCTCTTGTAGAGGACCTGGCTTATTTCTCAGCATCCACATGGTGGACCACAATCATCCATAGTGCTAGTCCCAGGAGATCTGATGCTGTCTTCTGACCTCTGGAAACTTCTGATTTCTGTATCACCAGGCAGGCATGTGGTACACACATACACACACACACGCAAAAACAGTTATGCACACAAAATAAAAATCTGTTTTAAAGATTTGCTCACATAATTAGAGATGTGAATACCAATGATAGTATTTTGCCTGAGAACAATCACATTAATCTATAAGTATGGGAAGTTACATCAGTGCACTTAATTCTTTGGCAGGAAGCAGCAGTCTTTTACTGGGCAATGGCACTTCTAGCAATTAAATGCTTAAAGATTTTATATGCCTCATAATGCCACTTAGGTTTTTAAATGGGAAAAAGAGTCAAGGTAAACTGGAACAATAGTGATAACCAATGGTCTATCTCCACCAGAAAAGCAGCTGTGGGCTGGTGTGTAGCTCAGAGACCCTGGGTTGGAGCCCCAGCATTACTAAATAGAAAAGTTTTAATCTAACTGGGATAGCAAGAGTCATTTATTGGTCATTTGAAATTGGGAACTGTTTTAAGTGACATAAGTTCTGACCTAAAATTGAGTTTTCCCTTTCTCAAAATCCTTAATAATTACTTTTTTATTCATGGGCTCGTATGGGGATCTTAACTGGTAGGGAACCATTCACTACTGCCCTGTTTTCTTCCCTGTGTCAAGATAGCTGAGAGTAGAGTGTGTGTCACCAGGATGAACTGTAAGCTAATCACATTAGAATATTTATATTTAGCTGGAAACATCGTTTTCAACAAAATGAGTATGGTATGCCTTTTTTTTTAAGCTGCTGTATTTCTTAACAGAAAATATCAACAAATATTAAGTGATATAATTCAAAATACAAATAGGCTCATGAAACTAATCTTAGGCTCTTAACTGTGTTGACGTTCTCCTGCCTCCAAGACAGTCCCCTATATTACCAGCTAACTAGAGAAAGTAGCATGTGACCTCCACTTTTCATTAAGGAGTGACAAGCCTGTAGGAGGAGTGTTTATTTTGTTCTTGGCAGACTTGGGCCTCGTTTTCTAGGCGTGCCCTTCTAGTTCAAAAGGCTACTTGTATAGCACCTAGGAAACAGAAAAAAGCTGTGAGATACCCTCTTGCCTCAGACTGGAAAAATGAGTGCTGTTTGATACTGACTTTTATGGTATGTAAACTTTTGGGGGCTTCTGTCCAAGTTTTGGCATGAATATTTAGACACAAGTTTTACACTCCTGGGAATTCATTTTTTTTTTTTTAAAAAAAACAAACTGTTCTGTTGGCTATTCAGAAATAACCAACCAAGCATCTAGATCTCTCTCTCTCTCTTTTCTTTCTCCATAATCATTAAAAAAGTCCTCTTTCTAGTAAATGTTCTGTGGAATTTTCAGGAGTATTTGTGGGCTTTGCGTGTCTTGTATGAATTCAGTTTAAACAATTCATTTAGAATCATCTGGGATGCCCAATTCTGGCAAGTCTTTACTACTTGTGTTTTTAGACATGTCTTGTGTCTTTTTCCACACCTCACTTCCTGTCTTACTCGATAGATAATTGAAGTCAATTTGGGATATTTGCTTTACAAGTGTTTTTTCCGAGCAGTTCTTAACACAGTGTTTAGATATTTCCTGGGCTATTTTATGCTCGGTTTGCCCTGGACAAAGTGGTGGTCTTACTGAAATGAATTCTTAACACAGAACAAGTTCTATAGTTCAGCTTGTTGCCGAATCCAAGAATGTAGTGGGCAGAGCTAGTTCCTATGGTGTATTCCTAGCCGGGGCTCCTGATATGCACGTGGAGTTTCCAGGTTTCTGGGCATCGGTCCCACAGTGCTAAGAGAGCATTGATTGTTATAGCCCTTCTGCAAAGTGAAATGAGAGATTTGAGATTAGTGGGATGGGAGAACCACACCATCCACTCAAGTTTTTGTTCAAGGCGCATGGAAGACTCCTGAATATCAGTGATTCTAGAGGTGCTAGAGGAAGCCTGAAGTCAAAAGGCCCACGGCAGCAGGAGAGCTATAGCTGCCAGCTAAGATGCACTGGACTCCACTGCTCTGAGCCTCGGGCATGTTGGACACCTTACTGTGATGTTTCCATCGACACACGTAGGCTATAGACAAATGCTTTCTGAAGTGAGGCGCTCTCTGTTGATTTATTTCCTGGTTTGGGCTCTACCAAATTGTGAGTATTCGCTGTGTTGTGCCCAGTTGCTTTATATTAATACTGCAACTTGAGTTGGGGTGGGTGGGTGGGGCAGCAGGGTGGGAGAGGGAGGGGAACGGAATGAAGTCTTTTGAAGACATCAGCTCACTGTGCTGAGAGAGGGACCAAACTCTAGGAAACCTCTGATCTATATCAACTGCTGCATTTTTTTATAAATACATGTAAATGTCCTGTTGTAATATTTGATCTTGGAAATAAAAACAAACTTTTCAATATTATTTTTGTGTCATTGTTTTTGAAAGGTATTGGATATTACTTTTTATTCGAGTAATTAAAATTCCAAAAGTTTGTCCTTATATTCTCATGTTTGAGACACATAAGTAATTTTTTAGAAACTTGGTTTCCCAGTATTTTAAGGCAGGAGAATCAAGTGTTCAAGGCCAGCCTTGGCTACGTAGCAAGTTGAGGGTTAGCCAGGGCTACATGAAACCCTGTCTCAAAAAACAGCCAGATATGGTAGTGTTTGCGTTTAGTTCCAACACTGGGAAGGCAGAGGAAGGTAGAACTCTTGGAAGTTCAAAGCTGATCTGGTCTTCATATCAAGTCCCCAGACAGCCATAGCTACATAGAAAGATTCTGTCTCAAAAAACAACAACAAAAAAAAAAAAAAAAAACAAAAAACATTTGGCTTTTATTGACAAAGGTTAGTTTTTGTCAGATGTTTTTGTAGTGTTTTTTTTTCTTTTAATAATATGTTGAACATGTTTATTATTAAAGTGTTATGAAACATTGGGTTAACTGTAAGCCTTGAAAGTACACTTACATATTTAATAAATTTGGTCAGTGAAATGTTTAATCTTTCAGACCAATAATAATGACATTAAGACTCAGCTAAGATGGGTATAGTGCTTTCTCCTTGCAATTCTAGCACTTGGAGATGGAAATACCAATGTAGCAAGTTCGGGGACTGTCTGGGCTACTTGAAATCTTATCTCAAAAAAACAACCTAAAAACCCTATTTAAAGAAATGAGGGGAAAGAGTTACTAAGTGGACAAAAAGTCCAGTAGATATTATCAAGTTGTATAGATAGGTGTTGTGGTTGCTGCCTAACTCAACAGGGCTCAGTTTGTGCTTCTCCTTTATGTGGGCAGTTAGAGTCCCTAAGTACCAGGCTTGACCACGGTCCAAAACACCTGTAATCCCTGCTTTTGGAAGGCTTTTGAGTTGGAGGCCAGCCTAGGCTACAGAATGAGACCTTGTCTCAAAATGTGAGTCGGTATGAGAAGATGGTTAAGTAACTTAGCCCCTGTCCTCAGGAAGGGGTAAAGCCACAGACTTTACTAACATGAAAATGAGCTGGTGGGGGATTTTGCTTTAACTAGAATGTTGAGGGGATAGGGATAATCAGTGTGGAGTGCCATCTGCCCCTGTTCAAGGTTAGTACAGGAGGCAGGGGCTGTTAAATTGGATGATAGGAATTCATTTTCCTACTGAGGCATGACCAAGCAATCTAGGAGCAGAAGAATAAATGCAAAGGCTATGGAGAGGGAAGGGGAATCTGAGGTTTGGGGGGGCAGTTGTGGGGGGGGCATGTGGTGAATTAGAGAATGTCTGATTCAGAGTCATTGGGAGGCAGAAACTGGAGCTTTCATTTTGATCTGGGATGATAAAAATGACTCGGAAGTTTCTGACATGAGGGCACCCTGCTGAATGCATCAGACATAATTGGTGAAGAGAACTTACTCTCCATGTGTTAATTTCTAGTGATAGGCCTAGCATAGGAAACGGACCCAAGAATGAAGCTAGGAGGAGAGGTGAACTGGAGTTAGATCTGAGAGAGCAGTATAGGTGGAGCTCAATGCTGAGAGTGGATCTGGTCCCTAGGACAGGAAGTTAAGGTCCAAAGTCTAAGGATCACCCCATAAAGAGACCTGTCAAGGAGGGTCGCCTAGTAAGGAAGGAGAGGTCCCACTGCGGCGCCAGGGAACCAATGGAAGATGTTCAAGGATCGGTGTCTAACCCATCTCATGCTGCAGGCATCAAATAAAAGCACCAGTGAAGTGTTCGCTAGAGTCAGTCACTGAAAACCAAAAGTGGTTTCAGTACACTGGGAACGGGAGTGGGCTCGAGTTTGTAATATTTTTATACCAAGGGAGGAAAAAAAACACCCAGACTTCCTCTCAGGTGACTGATGGTGTCTCTTTCAAGCTCTTGAAACTTCCTCTTTTCCTACCTCCAATTAAGGGAATGTGTTTGCTACTGTCAGCCATCTGTGGAGGAGGATTAGTCAGTCAGTAGGAAGAAGAGTGGAAACAGCTGGCTTGCTGGGCCTATCCTATTTCCCCTTTCCCTTCCTCCCAACTCTGCTGTCTTAACTTCTTGCTCAGATCTCACCTCTCAGTTCCCCCATCCTGTCTTTTCACAGGCCTTTCAGCCTGAGGAAGCCTTCTGTGGCACTAACTTCCCCACCCCAGCCCTATTCATAATCTGACCTCCAACACTCCCTTGCTTTTGATGCAACAGAGCCCTGCACCAGTGAATTGAGTTCTAGATTGTGTCTGTGGGAGCCAAATTCTGAGGCGAACACATCTGTGAAAGGATGGTGACCAGGGCTCTGTTGCTTCC